CCTAAAAATGACCATTTTGCCCTTTTGATGATCTGATCAAATTTCTTGTGAAATTGTGATCCAAACTTGATCAAATGGTCCATGTGAGTTCATAATGTTGATGTGGGTCAATTTTCATGAGATTTGACTATCAATTGGCCACAGTTGACTTTTCCCCAGTACAGTTGATTTCTAGGTCAACTGTCAAATTGACTGGGCAAATTTTGGAATCAAGACTTAAAACTTTGTATGGATAAACTTGGGAGTCCAACATGAAGCATGAAAGTCATCTTAGGCTTTTTAGGTCAAAACATCTTTGTGCAAACACAAACCCTAATTTGGGTCAACAGTGCAAGGAGAAGTCTTGAGCAAAGGAAACCCTAACTGGATCTTGAGCTCCAAGGGTTCTGTGAGGGGAAAATGTTGAGGAAATGGGAGGGCAAATTTTGGGGTACAACAGAACGTACATCTCTTTATTTTATCGATGACCATGACGAAGGACTTCTTGAGTTCGTTTGCAAAGTCTTTCTCGTCAAAGAACTCTTCGACGTAATATCTCTTCCACCAGTCTTCAAAGGCTGGTGAACAGAGGAAGTTGAGTTGGTAGTCGAACAATGATAGTACGGTCCGACCAACGTACCTACTAATATGCCTAGTAGCGGCGTCTTCAGAGTAGTCATTAGAAAAGAACAACAATGATTTCTCCCGAGGATAAATTGGAGAAGGAAGCGATTGAATAATGCCAAATTATCGAGAGACAAGATTCGGCTGGTAGGCAATCAGGCTCAGCTGATTTTTCGAACTCTTGAAATGCAACGGCATTATCCTTGGGGTGAGAAACGCTTCCCACATTGTTGTATACTCTTCGAAGTGAGGATCTTCTGGTGATTTAGGATAGGGCCTGATAAACCATCCTGGACTACACTTTCGACCGACGAAAGGGGCCATGGTCGAAGTGAATTCCTTCCTCCCCGCAAACATCTAAACGAAGTTTGCGAAGGTCTTTTGTAGTTCCAGTCCATCCTCAGTAGGAGTCAATAAGGCGAGCCTGGTGCCTTCAACGCGCCTTCTGGCTATCTCAGGAGCCTTTTTATTTATTTGAGTCTTTTGGGGTAGAAAAGACTCGAAAGTGGCATTCATCCAGAGTTGAAGTAGCCAGAAGGGACCAGCAAGCAGCAGGCTGGCTATATTTTCAATTACTTTTAATTGATCCGCTCCATTGCTTATCGACTCGTACAAGTTCTCCAATATTAATTCGGCCAAACAGATGTTTTGGCCGTGATAAAGCTGAGTAGCAAGGGTGGCCATCTTCTTCGTCACCTGCAGGGATTTCGTGCAGAACACAAAGCGCGACAGCCAAAGGGCTAGAAACGCGATGTGCTCCACATCAGTCACCGCAGCCGTTGATTTGTCGTGATAATGACTGGTGTAAGTGGTATAGGTGGGTTTGGTAGCAGAAAACTCAATCTGGTCTTCAGACATTTCCTCTGGGTCGAAGTAGTCCCAAGTTGGTCGAAGACCAGCAATGGCGGCCACATCGAAGAGAGTGGGCGTAACCATTCCACAAGGCAAGTGGAAGGTATAGTGAGTGTAGTCCCAAAACAGCAATGAAGCTACCACTATGTCAGGACAGTAGTTAAGACCAGTTTTGGACAACATGACCAGGTCATAAATGCCCATGCCCTTCCAAATCGAAGCCTGGCACTCCTCCATCTTGTTGAGCCAAGCGGTATATTCTGGTGTAAGGCTAGGGCTAGATCGAAAAGCCCTAACCCCCTGTTAAAAAACCTAAGATCTATCTTCTCTTTCGCAGGATCTTCAGTATCATCTTTCGCCTTCTTTGAGCACCCAATGGGTTTGAGTGCCTCATGCGCGGGGAAGAAACCCTCAGTTTTTGTGGGGTCAGTAATGCATGTTGAAAGAGGGCCTGACATGGAAAAAACCTGGTTGGAATACCCAACGAGAATCAGCAGTTGAGAGCCATAGGTTTTGCGCTCAGCATCACCCATGGGTTTAGGAACCCTTCGCATTCCCATAGAATTAACTACCGGAGCAGTTGAGAAGGTTTCTAGTTGAGCAGTCTTGGAGAGAATGCTAGCTCTTGGGGCATTGGGAGAACGAGTACGTGAAGCCATTTTTGGTTTAAATGAGGGTGAATGAAGAATAAAGATTACTGGGTTTGGAGAGGAAGAAGCAAAGGGCTGTTTGCAGAAGGTTTCGTTCGATCGAAGGTTTGGATGTGAGAAAGTGTAAAGAGTCCAAATGAAGCACTTAGTGCTATTTATAGTGATTGGAAAATCACAGGGCTCGAGGTCATTTAATGCCACAGACGGGAGTGGGGCACGTGGTACGCATTGGTGCTGTAACCATTCTGAAAAACGGAAATGTTGCAGCATGCTTCCTCGATTTCAGAGAATGGTCATAATGACAGCGTATGAAAGGGCATCGTGCGTGCGAAGTGCCTTACTGAAGTGACATCTTGGGAAAAGTTGAAATGATGATTTTTTGAGATTGTCATATGGTTGGTAGGAGACGAAAAGCGCACAAACTAATTTGTGGATAAGAGTGAAGGACAGGTGTCGAATGGAATATCAAAGAATGCCTCTTTCTTCTAAGCGTTGAAATAAGACATTCTTGGAGGGCAATTTGTTGGCTCCTAAATTCGACACCCACGTTCTATTATCATATGGATCATTAGTTATGAGTTAGAAGAGTTTCCTACACAAGAAGGCTTCGATCAGCTGATCACATCGAAGGCTTATCAAAGAATGACAAGATACTTAGAGAAATTTCTCTAAGTTGGGATCATGTTGTTTTCAACGTCGAAGGAGCAACCTTTCGACCAAGGTCCCTGATGCCCAAGATCAAACGGTTTGAATTTCGAATTGTTGGAGGGAAAGCGGTTCCCAGCAGTTACCAAGCGCAGCGTGGCGTGGAAGTAGGCGTCGAGGGTTGTGGACGTGCCATGTGGTGTCACCTCAAAGCGATGTAACTGCCCAGCAGTTACTTAGGATTTTTTAGTATAAATACTAAGTGTTCACGTAGTTATTGCGTGTGTTCATCATTATATACAAGTCACTCATTTAGATTCAAGTACCCAGCGTGAGAGAAAGAATCATTGAGAATGTATGTGTGAAACACCATTTACCTTAATCGAAGTCTTTTACATTCAAGCAATTTATCGCTTTCACTTATTTACCTCAGTCGAAGTCATTTATTTAACAAGCCTTTAATGCTTTTATTTACTTTACCAAGCTTTTCTCCATGCAATTTACTTAAAGTGTCTCTACCTTACTTGCGTTAATCACCATTAGGATTAGTCGAAACTCTCTACTTTAAAGTATTTAAACTCTCTAAAATCAACCATGTCTTAGGATCAATCTGATCGATCCTGCGAGTCACCAAATAAGTTACCTTTTGGAGGATCAGCGGTTGTTTACCATTTTTCACGGTAAACACACCTATAAAGAAGCATATGCAAAAATCATCACATCCTGAGAAATTGATTCTGGATGATAAAACTAAACCTATCAAAACTAGATCTTAATTCGAACAAGATGAAGAAACACTTATGGGTTTGGTATATGTTATAGAACCATCATCTATTAATGAATTCTAAACTCTGAATGAATTCTTGTCGTGCAAGAATTGAATCAATTCTTCAAAAATGATGTATCGGATATGATACCAAGACCAAAAGAAAATCGTGTTATTGAAACCAAGTAGGTGTTCAGAAACACGCTAAATAAGCAAAGAAAAGTGGTAAAAAATAAAGTCAGACTGATTACACAAGGCTATAATCAACATGATTGAGTTATATTAATTATTCAATTTATTTAAAAGAATATATTTCCTCCGTAATAAAATGATTGTCCGTTTAAAAAAAATATTTGTTCCTAAATACTTCTCACTTTACATTATCAATGTAGCTTTATTTTAAAATTTTCAATTGTATTCTTTAATAAATACTTTTCCTTTATTATTTGTTCACTTAATATTAATACTAATTTAAATACACCAATATGTGATAAAGATAATTTAGTAAAGTCAATATTTTCTCTTTCAGTTAGATTTCTTAATCTATATAAAAGTATCAATTATAACAATTATTTTGGAACCGATGAAATAAATAATAAAGTAAGTTTAACTTAAACCCAAAAAGTACTATATTCTACATAAAGATGTGTAGTTAATAGTTTTATTTTCTCATATATGGGTCTGTTTATTTCTTTTCTTTTTTTAAATTCATAATATTTTTAAAAATGTTTTCATTGTATTAAATAATCTAGTTTAAAAAAGTATTTAAAAATAAATTATAAAAAAACTTCAAATAAAATATTAATTTAAATAATTATTTTAAAATATTATTTTAAATTTTTTATTTTTTATTATATTTTTTTTAATATCAAAGTTTTAAAGAATCACTTAAATTTAAAACTACTTCAAATAAATTAAAATTTTTTGAAATATATATATTTTAAAAAAATATAATTTCGACATTATTTAGTTTTTAATAATATATACTTCGTTAAAGAATATTAAAAATAATCTTCTAATTTATAAAAGAACAAATTAAAATAACTTTAAATATTTTAAAAATGGTGAAGTTAGAAGAAATTAATTACCAGATGAAAAAATAAGACCGTGTATAAAGAACAAATCCAAGGTAATTGAAGAAATAAAACAAGTGTCATATAACAATGCACATTTGCTACCTCAATAAATTTTACAGCGTCAAGATAAATATTCTTCAAGAAATGCTACTCTACCATAAAGTAAAGCAAGACCAGCTAATATAATATAACAAACAGACAAGACAAGCTTCCATACAATGTCAACTTATTTCTACCACTCAATTCGTGTAAAAAAACGACAGTCATGTTACAATGGTGGCTGTATCTGAGCCTCCTTTCTTTACATTGTTTTGCACTCTCTCCCCTTCTCCATTCAAATAGGGGGTTATTGATAGAGTTTAATCTATACCTGAGCCTAACTAACAAGGAATGGTAGCTTTTACTTCCTCAAGCTTCTTGCCCTGGACTCCTATCATTGTTTACACCGTCAGAAAGGTTAACCCATAAGCTCTGACCTCTTTCAACTCCGTTTTCCCAGGTTTGTTGTCTTACACTCCTATCATTAGTCTCACCACCGTCGGAAACTTGGGCCCATACACTTCGGCATTTTCCTTCTCCACTAAACTCCTCGTCCCCTCCTGCAACTGTCTTGAGCAGTTCTGATTGCAGCAACGGACAGTTTTCCTTTAGATACTCAAAACCATCAGACTGCATCACAGCTGCAGAAAACAGAATAAAGAAATGATATTAGAATGTACAACTGACGGATACTACTTGGTCGTTTCCGTATATTTAGGCAAACGCTGAAAATGAAAATCACGGGAGATAAACAGATATTATCCAGGATGAGGTGCCTTTGAAAACTATTAGGAAGAACTATGATCTACTACTTCAATGAAAAGCAAAGTGAACAAGTCACAAAGTCTATAACTAGTGTGAAGAACTTAAGACTTGAATATAAACATCTTGAGAATTTAAGACTTGAATATAAACATCTTAAAAATGCTTAACAGCAGCGCACATATTCTTGACGATGGAAACATGACCTAGGCATACTGACGAACACATTTCTGGAGACATTTAAAAGCTAACACCCATATCACAATTGAAGAGCCCAAGGCCTGAATCAAGTTTGTCAGGAAATTAAATTTCCCAGAAATAGTACAAAAGTCCTGAAGCTAAAAGCATGAACCATGTCGCCGCAATTTGACTCATCTGTACAGTTGTAAGGCTCATGAGACCAGTACCATATGAAAGCCAACATCAAGCCGCACAACTCTAATGAAAACCTTGATTGGTTGTCGGTGATTCAATTCCAATGGATACGGATACCAATCAAGCCCTCCTGTTTACTAAACTCTCACCGTCCCACGGGCTAACTTGTGCAAGCCTGCTAGGAATTACAAATTTACGAATTAGAACTCAATTTTGTAACTGACTAAATGCCTAATAAAACCCTAACATTTGGCCAACATTGTGGCATTTGACAAATGCAGTGTGGTAACTTCACTGGTGTACAATCCCATCCTTCCATCGCTGCACCATCACAGCACACAATCCAAACAGATCCATGCAATCCAACTTTTTCTTCAGTTCCATCTTCGTGTGATTAACAAACGGTTCTTCATGTGAGCTTAGAACTCCTAAAGAATAATTGTGTTTGCTCCCATGCCCACGCTACATACTGAGCAATTCTGAGGCTCCCCGGCTGTCTCATCTCCATGTCAATCCAATTCTACAAACCCATAGGTGAAACAGTCAACCTGTTGGCAAGGTTTAAGATCATAAAATTTGTGCTAACAGAGACTGGAAACTGCAATTGTATTCCTCATGCTTATGGGAATTCTATTTTTAAAGTATCTTGGTACCATAGATCCAAGGTACTAAAAACCGAGAGTTTACACAAAATCGGAGAGGAAGTAAAATTGTAAATTGTGCAATCGTAGCACTAATACTAATTGTAAGGTTATACTTGAGTCATAAATTTCAAATAGAAGCATGTCAATTCATATATATGCATATAAAATAGCATAAGTAAAAAACCTTAAATCACGCTTGAAAATTGAAACAGAAAGACTAGGGCCTGTTTGGATTGGTTTATTTGAGCATAATAAGTTTTGTGACATTGTTTGGGTGACCTTATCGAAACAACTTAGTACATTTTTCATCAATTTTTTTGAATTTATTTTTATAAGTTCTCTAAGATAACTAATGAAAACAACTTATAGCATATATAAAAACAATGTAAATTCATTTTACCTTTTGTTATAAAAATAGCTTATGAAAGTGTATTCATAAGCGCTTATTTTGATTAACACTTGTGCTATATAAGTTTCAAATAAGTTGTTTATCCAAACCGGCTTTAGGTAGAAGAGAAGAAACTGCAGCGTGAAAAGCAGGGAACAAGCAAGTGAAAGTTGTAATTGAGATGTTATTAGCTCTTCCAATGTTATAGGATAAATGGTTGCAGGGGAAGAATGCTCGATAGTAAAAAAAATTAACATCTGTACCTCTCCATGAAGCTCCAATACTTCAAAATTGGTAAAGTATTAGCATTATCGGCCTATCTGTTGGAAATTCTCCTTAATTACAGCATTTTGGTTGGCTTTTTTGCAGCCTCCAACACCACCATTGAGCTGGGCCCACCTCACCTTACAAAACTGATTTCGTTAGGAGAAGTTAGGCCCAATCAAAACTAAATTGAAGTTAGGCCCAATCAAAACTAAATTGAAGTTAGGCCCAATCAAAACTAAATTCTGAGATAGTATAAGAGTTTATTTTATACTAGATCTGTTATTCGGCTCCCCACATTGTCCACACTCCAGATCCATTGGGTTTAGGTTTGGGCATGAGAGGTGTGCTGGAGATTCTACCTTATTTACGGTGGTCTGTCTCCAGCCACCTTAATAGGCATTTGGATAGCCTTCATTGCAGCTTCCAGCGCCACAATTGAGCTGATTTGAAGGATTGGGTTTAGTCTCATATCACCTTGAAATATAATCGATGTAGTGCTTATAAAAGCTTAGGCAGTCCTCACCAGTACGAACCAGCTAAGTAAGGATGAGTTAGGTCCAATTCGAAACTCCAATTCTAAGAATATCCAATGCTGAAACGCATTTCGGCCTAAATATAAATCCAGGATGTATCCCTTCAATTCAGTAATTTTAAAAAAATTATTGGCCAGTATTTTTGGGATATTGTTCCAAAGACCAGCCTTAAAGCTTCTAGTACAACTTTTGTTTGTCATCACGCAGTGAGAGAGATTGGACTACATACTCTTTTAGCTATTCTTTGAAGAGAAACAAAAATGGATTAAAAAAAAGTAGAGGATTTTGTTTATGTACATTCCTACACTTGACTTTTGCTTAGAAAAGATGAAGTTGTTGGACACAATATTGTCAATTGTGGATTGAAGAAAATAACAATTTGTTCAAATTCCGTTACACAACAGTGCTATAGCACCACTAAAATTTCTATTTGACAACATTTTGAATTAAATAGTGTATCACGCAACAATAGTGATTTGTTCAAATTTCGCTATGCTAAGCTAATTTCTTTAGTTGGCAGAGTTGTCACTTGGCAAACAATATATAGTATTGTCTCTTGATGAACTAGGTATAAAAGCTAGTTTTTTCTGGACATGGGACTAATGATGTTTCTTGTGACATTCTAACATGGGTTGGGGGGAAATATGAAAATTTTGCAACATTTTATCAAGAAAGGATATTTTCTAATATGGGTAGCGAAGATATGTATCTTGGTTTTTCTAATTTCTATTAAGATAGTTATCTACTAATCTTGTCATGTATAAAAGAGAAATTAATAATGTCTATTTAAGAATATTGAGCATTTATATAAATGTTTATAGTTTCTATAAATTTGTGTTAACATGACCATACAATATTACATCTTGTACTTCGAATTTTTTTTCCATATGTACATTTTTTTATTCCAAACCATTCTTACATTGAGTATATATGCTTCCAACCTATGCAACCCACTACCAAATGGAACAAGATAAGGTTGATCCCACAAACACCCAGAAAGTAAAGAATGTTTGCTTCTAAGTCTAGAAAAGGATATTTCTTCCTCAATTATTATTAAAACAAGACAAAATGATCTTCAATATCATTTACCATTATCAACCCCAGTAATTAGGCCAGAAAATTTTCCAATCGCATAAGTAACATAAGAGCTAGGACTGGTGGATCAGCTGAGTGTCTTTTTTTAGCCACTCTTCCTTTTCCTACACTAAAGTTAAAATATATATTATGGAAGATATAGTCTTAATTTCATAGATACACTGAAACGAATCCAGAAATACAAAATGATTAAGTCCTTTGTACTCAAAAGCGACTGCTATCGTACCGTTGCGGCACTTCGTCGCTACACAAAACGTCGTTGTGTTTCAGTTTTAAGGAGCAGTTGTCGTATTGCAATGCAAATAGTATCTGTAGCAGCTTCTAAGTAAAACTCATGCAAAAACCCAAATATCCCCTCAACTACGCGTTCCCTCTGTTTTTTGGGACCTGTTGGTCATTTCACACTAAAATTGTTAATGACAACCAAATAGGGCTTTTGTTTTGTTTCATTTCTTCTCTCTCTGGGAAACAGCTTTGTCTCTCCTAAAACTTGAACAGATATGTCTCCCATTCTCCTTGTGTGATTTCCAAGCGTGCAAGGAGACACAACGTAGAAGCAAAACACAGAAAAGGAAGAGGATGCAGAATAAATGAGGTCTAGTAGTAGTGAAGAGAGAAAACATGATGACAAGGAAGACCTTGAAAATAGAGATTCCATTTAAGGAATCAAATCAAATGTACTATATATATTTTAAATATCTAGGTGAAGTATTTTAAACTTTGAAGGCTGGAACTTATTTGCTTTATGTTTGGTTTGAATATTGGCACCAATGAAAGTAAACTGTATTTATTGATGTCTTTAATTTGGTGCATTCTTCTATTTTTGAGCTTATATGTGTATGGTATAAATTGTGTTGTTTCTCTAGATTTTGACAAAGTAGCTACCACCATAGCGTCTTGGGGATTGGGGCTGCCTGCCATCCAAGATACATAGATTCAAACTCAATCAAGAAAAACAATGTTTCTCCACATGTTCATAATATCGAGAGTTAAAAGTATATTTTCATATAACCAAGTGTGCCATCAAAAAAATTGTAGTACAGTTACAGATCATTTTCATCAGTGTGAGCATGAAGGAAAAAAAAGACATTGAGTTTGTTCAAGTATAATATATTAAGGGTAATCTGAAGTGAATCTGTTTGTTTAAGTATAGTATGTCAAGTATGATCAGTAGTGAATTTTCTCAGTTTCTACATTGCTCCTGTTGATATATAAATTTCCACATGCAAAAGGGAGAACGTAAGGGGGTTAAACTGTTAATGCATGCCAACAGCTTAACAATTATATGTGAAGTTCTCCTAACCAGTTTATGATTGCAAAATAAGCCAATGCCATAAAACAAACAGAAAAGATTATGCACATACCAATAGTCTACTTGTTCGTCAAATAACAGGTGAAATATCGCTGAAGAATACTCAGTTGCATAACCAGATTGATGCCAATATATAATAAGCTTAAATGTAGATGACTATAGTTTAGTGTAAAATAAACAAACTCACCAATAAGGTTTTCAGCTGAAAATTGTAGACAGATGGACTTTAACTCCGTAGCATGATGACGATCGGCAAGAGCCAGAATATAGGCAACCGAATCTATAGATATATCTTTGCAAAGAACAGACTCACACATCAGCTTAAGTCTAGGCAAGTCATACTTTTCGGCGGCAGCTAACAACTTTGCTGCAAATGTTTCAGATATTGAAGGCAGGAACGATGAACCTGACATGAAGAACTCTTCATCTTCTATAAGTGCGTCTCTATAAATAAAATGAAGCAAAGCCTGCCCAAAAATAGGATTCAAGAAAAATTAGATAACCAAGCAAATAATATGCAACACTTGATTAGTTAGAACATGCATGTCTGCATGAAAAATGGAATAAAAGATAGTTGCAAAAGGATGGAGGGAAAATGACACTTTAGAGGAAAATATCTACCTTGAAAACCTTAGGTTCCATGTCCGTAACAACAATATCACAATCATCTTCCTCCATCCTATTAAAAAACTCGGTTTCAAATGCAGTTGACCGAGCTGCCATAACAAGTTTATGCGCGTGAAACCTTTCTCCGCCAACAGAGAAAGTAACATCAGATCCTTCCTCATTCTCTAACAGCATGCCGAAATGCGATCCAATATCAGATTCAGGAACATGTATGGTAGTCAATTTAGAACAATCTATGGACGACACAACAACACCAACAGTGCAATTTATCTTCAAGCAGTCATCCTTAAGAAAGGATGACGCCTCGAGTTGCGCACGTTTGAAAAACCGCTTATATCCCCTAAGACATAATCAACATATCATTGTTTAGTTCATAAAGTATACAACAAAATGAATAGAATGGATAATTACTCCTAAAAACAGTTCTAAACCCTAAACCCTAAAATCAAAAGAATTCAATTAAACAGAAATAATAAAAAATTAGAAAGAAACGGGAAATTGAAACGATGAAACGAACCACATGCTGCCTCTATACTTGAGAGTATAAGGCCCACTCTCAAGAGATCGATCAAAGTGACTATGAACCTTATGCTTTCCATTGGGACTCTGATCAAGCAGAGTGAGTTCAAAGAGAGCACGAACATCGGTTCCTTCGGAAGCAAGCGCGATAAAAACGGAAACATACGCGGAATTATCCTCGGGGTTTTTACCGTCGGGATAGAAGTAAATTGCCCATTGGTAACCGCCGACTGTGAAGGTTTCGCTGGCTATGTGTTTTCCGACTCCCATTCCTTTTGCGAGTGAGTAGCCCTTGATTACGAATTTGTGTGAACCGTTTACGGTTTCGGTTACGGAACGGGAGCTTGTTCGGAAAGAGAGAATGCTCATGGCGGTGGTGTTGGTGTTGGTGGTGGTTCTGCTATGTTCTGAGTTGTTGTTGTTGTTGTTAGTGTGCATCATTTCTTCGCATGTTCTTTAGGTTTTGGATTTTTTATTAGGGAAGGGGAATTTATATTATGAATCTGTGTAGATCATTGTTTTATTTTTAGTTGGAATTGGTAATTAATTGATGATAAGATTGTTTTGGGATTTTGTTTATTTATTGTTTAATCATGTTTGAATTCATTTTTATATGTTTAAAAAGTTTTTTAAAACAAAAAAAAAAACTTAATGAGCGGTTGGTTTTTGGATAAATATGAAATGTTTTTTTTATAATTTAAGTGTAAAATAATTATATATCATCGGATTTTATAATTGTTTGATTTTTATTTTAATTAGCTTCAAAATATTACATATAAATTATAATATCAATTAATTTTATACCGATAAAACATATCAATTAATTTTTTTTAAAATCTTAATATATTTGTTTGTTTGAATTTATCAACCATGCAAAATTTTGACCATTTAATTAAATTTTGACCATTTAATTTTGATCATTGACATTAATGCATATTAAAATAATTAGGAATATAACAAAAGATAGATAAATAAAAAATTAATTAATTAGAAAATGATAGATATTCGTAAAACTTATCTATAATAGATAAGATAAAAATCTATAAAATAGGTACGGATACGAATTTGAACAATTACTCATAAAAAAAAGTGGGTATAAACACATATATGAATATCTTAATATTTATCGGTGTAAGATCCTAAACTATCTGACGAATAATAAATAAATATCAAAATTATTTGTGGGTAAATTAGGATGTCACACTTATTTAAAACATACAAACACCTGCTTATAAATAGTGTATAATACATAACATAAATAACGGATGAACCAAAATCAAATAACATGTTTCAACTTCATTTTTTATTAATGCAGCGTAAAAGAATTATACTCGAAATCCAACAATCTTTGTAAAATAAATCAACACATATTCAAAATTCATAAGGAGCTCTTAAGACTCCAAACAATTACTAAAATAAAACAATAAACAGCGTTCATCCCCCCGGTGTTATGTATCAGAGCAATGACACCGACTCGAAAGTAAATGAAGAGTAACATCTTTCGATCCTTGCATTCTCAAACTACTCCTGACTATCTGCACGATATTGTATAAAGCATCTGTTGTACCCCAAAATTTATCCTCTCTTTTCTCAAGGGATTTCTCACAAGATCTCCAATGGCTCAAGTTTGCACAAAGTGTTGACTATGTCAAACCACATCCTAAACATTGATGCCTCAAATTAGGATTTTGATTTTCACAAGGATAATTGGACTTCTAATGTCACAATTGACTTTCATGGATCATTATAGACCTCCAAGAATACTCATGTCAAGTTTCAAGTCTTGAATCACAATTTTGCTCAATCAATTGACCAGATGACTAAAAATGAGTTGTATTGAGTAAAAAATCAATTGTGGTCAACCTGCAGTCAAACTTCATGATTTCTGGACAACATCAACATTTTAAGGTCCTATTCGTTATTTGCCTTCATAATTCCTCAAGAAAAGTACTCAATTTACCAAAAGAGCAAAATAGTTAAAATTAGGGTTTTGACTGTAAATTGACTAATCACTGACTTTTGACCTAATACATGGTCCAATGGCTTGAAGCACAATATCAAGGATTCAAATACAACATGTTTACCTAATCTCATGGCTCAAATCATCTTTCAAAATCAATGAATTGATAATTGAATTTTGGGTCAACTGATGAAAAGTCAACTGATACACAAAAAGTCAAACTTTTACTTTTTGATCAAGATTTGGTTTCAAAGATCACAATTCATCAAGACATTCAAAAATATGAAGCTTGATCATCAAGAAATAAAGAAAGTCAAAAGTCAATTTGAAAAGTCAAACTTTTCAAGACTTAGAAATATTTTCTAAGTGTTTTTATACATGATAATTTCACTACTTCATGCCAATTTTTCACCAAAATGCAAGATGATTCAAAAGAAACTTTCGACATGAAAGTTGTAGATCTTGATGAGATATACAACTTTGTATTATAGAGCTCATATCCAAAAAATACTTAGATTTTGAGTTATAAGCCCATGAAGTCATGCACTTTTTCTAAAAAACACAGTGAAAATTTAACCTAGTTTAGGCATATTTTTGTCCCAACTTCTTGGCCATTTTTCATATAGCTCAAAGATGATTTTTTTCAAAATGGTCAACATGAAGGTTGTAAAGGATGTTTAAATCTTTCTAAAATGTCCAAGAACTTGAAGAGATCATACTTGAGCTAGAAGTTTCGAAGAGATGAAGATGGCCTCATAAACTTGAGTTATAAGTCATTTTCTTGATGAACATTTGACCCGATCCCATAGCCATGCTGCATAATCTTACTTTTCAGACTTCTAACTTGTGTTTCACCCCATAATTAATTAATTACACAACTGATAGAGCCATTATCCAAGCATTTGAGTCATTATCTAAGTTGTATTTCCATTTATGACACAAAGTTATGATTCCATTCTTGAAAAGTTGCTTTAATCACAAAGTCAGCTTGTCTTGAGCTTCTAACTTGTTTGTTCAGCACACACTCAACAAACAAAGTCAGATAAACATGTTTAAAGCTTGTAACCACTCTAGATGACCTTGTACTATGCATTGGGACAATGTGTATCAAGCTTGCTTAAAAAACAAGCCAAGGAGCCATAACATGTGAACTTGTACTTCTAATGACCTCAAGCTCTCAAAATATTTTCCTATAAATTGAGACACTATTATGCAACCTAGGACACGAAGGAACAAACATTGAAACTCTCTCAAACTACCCCAAACTAGAAATTGCTCTAAAATCACCATAACTTGTCATTTATGCCTAAGAACTTCCATCTTATAAACCACTTGTGTGTTTCTTCTCCAAATCAATCCTAAAGCTTCCTCACATCAAATATAACCCATCCCAACACCTATTACACAACTGTAACTCCATCTTCACTATCCTCCATAACTAAAAGCAGGGTGTTGCACATTGACTTCTCCAGTACAATTCAGCCATCCTCAATCCAAACTAATCTTTGCATGAGCTTCCTGGAGGTTCACTGAAACTAACCAGATCATTACAACACCTTGAAAGTTGCTCAAACTCAGAACACTAATTTCGTTTTCAAGGTGAATTTTATGACTTTTGAACTCTTCATATATGCATCATTTGGTTTCCATTTTCAAAGATAAAATGTAGATATCATAGACCTGAAACTAACCATGTCCTTAGAATTCATTTATGTTACCTGAGTAGTGAGAATTTTGAACTTCAACTTCCTGAAAAAATTAGGTCAGAATTTGGTATCATTAGAAATTCGTGTTCATCTTTGAGTGTTAGCTTAAGTTATTTATATTTCAGAAATCATGATGAAATTTATGACAAGTTTGATGTTACACGTTTGAGAATGGTTGAGAAATGAGTAAGTTCAGAAGTTCAAAAATCTGGCGTGAGGTTGAAGATGAAGTACATCCATGGATATATTTTATTTTAAATTTATTGGTTATTGTTTCTATACCGGGTGTACAGTGTAACACCCATTCTAAAATACCCCGAATAATATTAATTATATCAATGATTAAAGACATATTCCATCAGAGTTAACATGGAACAAGGGATATCACAATTATGAAATAAATAAAACCTCCAATAAAATAGTAGTCATGCTACACTGCGGGTCATTATTCAAATAATTCAATCAAATTAAGACCATGTATTACACAGCGGAAAAATACCATAACCAAAACGGAATAAACCAAAACATAATTATTCTCAATGAAATTCAAAGAAACAATTGAATAATAACTAATTCCTCAACTAAACGTTCCCCAGTGTTACAACCTATCAGAGCACGACACTGACACGCGGACTTAAAGTAACATAGCTCTAGAGCCATCCTCACCAACTCCTGAGCTGCTAACTTTAATCTAAAATTGTTAAAGTAAGGGTGAGATTTCTCATAATTAACATGCATTATAAGCTTCTCAATCAACATTATATCACAAGCATATTATTTCACCCATTTTAGCATAAATTCAGATTCAACACGCAGTTCCAATCATACAAGTCATTATGCACAAAGCAATAATCAACCAAATAATTGTAACACTGGAAGACATCCTAACATGTTACAATTCCATGCAAACACAAATGCAGACACAATGCATGTGGTACCAACATGTGACCAAGTCACCCAACACTGATCCATCATCAACCAGATACAGCAACCATCGATTCGTCCATAAACACCCGGACACGAATCCAGCCTAACCACCCATCATCACCCGGGTATCGGTTAACGGCAATACAAGTCAAATTCCATACAATGGGAATTAACTTCACCAAAACAATGCATATGCACACACATCACTAGCATGCAACATCAAATCAGTCTATGAAATACATCAATTTATCATAACTGAACCAAAACCAAAAACATGATATCTCAATGATCATGCACACCATCATTAGCAACATAAACATGCCTTTCATTCACACAATACTAGTACATCTATCCATCACAGGTTCACTGCTACATACACACCCATGTGAGTTAACCAATAATCACTTATTCCGGGATTTGACTCATTTTCAAAATAATTTCAGGTTTTAGGAAATCTTTTCATTTTATAAAATAGAGCATTAAATTTAAGAAATGACGTTCAAAACGGCACTCAAAACGGACTTACGGTTTGAAAGTTATGAATTTTCAAAGTTTAATATTTTTCAAAAAGTTACAGCAGAACCCGGTTCCTACATATGCAGGAATCGATTCCTGCGAAGTTCAAAAATCACGCTTCTGGAAAATGTATGGGAACCCGGTTCCTACCTATACAGGAACCAGTTCCTACGTGCATTTTTGCCAGTTTTTACAACTTCACACAGTGGAACCCGGTTCCTCCCCACTGGGAACCGGTTCCCACGACCTGCAGAGTCAAA